CTGGTTGGGGTGCAGCATTATTAACAGTGCATTCTGAATATTGGTAGTTGCTTCCTTGTCTTTCAACAATAGTCTCTATAACTGCTTTGGCCTTTGCTTGCATTTCCTTGCTGCCAAAAATGTTTACGTCTGCTTCGGAATCACCCTGTACCGGTATGATATCTATTTTCGTGTTTGTCGTACTCTGAATGTCTCTTATTTTTGATCCTCCATGACCAATCACTGCACCAATTAGACTGTTTTTTATTTTAAAAACAAGAGGAGGGCCTCGGGGGCCAGGAGCCCTAGGCTCCAGGTGGCTGGAGGAGCTGCCCCTGCTCTGGCCTCTGCCACGTCTGCCTCCCCTGCCATCTCTGTAGGCCCTGCCAGCCCTGGGATCCCTTAGGTTTGGCTCTGCCCACTTCTGCTTTGGGGCCCAGGCCATTGCTACATGGTAGAATTGGTACAGACTTATCGCCTACCTCCAGTTGGGAGATGTGGCCTCAGGTCTCTTTCTCTTCAGGCTCTGGAGAAACAGACCATACTGACTGGTAGATAGGTAGTTATATAGCCATTACCTAGGCAAACATTTAACGTGATGTCATAGAGGGATGACCCGTCCAATCACAGGCATGGGACTAGGGTGAGGTAAGCAGGTATCACTGAAGAAAATTTAAAGTGACACTCACTCTCAGAGGTTGAGTGTTTAGGCCTTTATAGGACCTTGAGAGTGAGTGTTTCCGCAACATGGGTGTCATAGGTGCCTCCATTGCTCACTTCATGCTAATTCTGGCTCAGTTTGGGAGCAGATTTGAAGCAAGCCATGAACTTATCCACATAGTTGTGATTTTTTTTTAATAAGTCAATTATTTCCACAGGAGGAAAAATAGTGGATTTGTTTGTTTCCTTAGATCCTCCTTCTTTTGCCAGTTACATGTTCATGGCATTTTTCTCTCTTCAGCAAAAGTTGAAGTTACACAGAATAGGTTTGAATCTCCTTGTATCCTTGTATATGTAAGGACCACTGTCAAATCCCCTTAAGGTTTCTGTTCATCAGGGTTAAATTCCTAGTTTTCTAAAATATTTCTTGATATGTCATTGTTTCCAAGATGCACATCATCCTATTTCTTCTCCTTCGGGAATGATTCATTGAGGAGCTTTTGTGATATGGCTCATAGAACTACACAAATCAGCAGAAATGGCCTTAACTTTATACGTATTCATTACTAAGCATGGCAGTTGTACTCATTCTACCTATGAAGTCAATACACAAAGCCCCTCACTGGAACATGATGGGCATTTGAGTCCATTCTTCCTCATCCTGTACTTACATGATTGATTTTTTATTTCTTTATTTAACTAAAAGTAGGCTATATATTTATTATTTATAGTCACCCTATGGTCAATTGCACCAGCCCATTAATATAACCTTAATGCGGATTCTCTCATTCATCATAGTATCTTCTAGTTTTAAGTCTTTTGCCAGTTACATATTCATGTAATTTTTCTCTCTTCAGAAAAAGTTGCTGACTATAATTTGAACCTGATCAGATATTGGGTGAAAGTCTTTGCAACACCGGGAAAAACTTTCTCCGTGTCAGCATTTTTCTGGAAAACTACTTTCTAAAGAAAGAATAGGTAGTTGGCCAAATACATTGGTAAATATAACATCCTATATCTCTTATAATCACAATGCATATTAGGTATCTCAGAAAACTCTGATAATTACAGGAATTGAGACACTCAATTGGGCATTATTTACTCCAAAGTTTCCAAAGGAATTTGCCAGTAGAACTTCGTCTCAATATTTTAAGTAAACTTTGTGTGTGGAAGAATTTTAGACTTACGGAAAAGTTACCCAGATTGTACAAGGGGTTCCCATATTCTCTTGAACCAGTTTGTTCCCTCCAATCTTATCTCACACCACTATGGCACATTTGTCCAATATATGAAACACACACTGGTGTGTTAATATTAACTAATCTCCAGACTTTATACCATCAGTTTTATGTTAATGTATTTTTTCTGTTTCAGGATCCAGTCTTGGACATTGCATTGAATTTAGTTGTCATGCATGATTTGTGACAGTTTTTCAGCCTTTCCTTATTTTTCATGGCCTTGTCAGTTTTGAGGAGTAATGGTCAGGTATTTTTGTAGAATATCCTTCCAATTAGGTATGCCTGATGTAATTTCTCATGATTACACTTGGGTTGTGGGGTTTTTTGGAGCAAGTTTTGAGCTTCTTATACCTTGGGGCTGCTATCTGTAGACTGACATAGTAATACCTACCTTATACACACAGACACAAACTCACAGTTACACTACTTGGTTCATAGTAGGAACTTTTTTTTTTTTTTT